TAGAAACATCGATGAGAGAGAAACATCGATCAGCTGCCTCCTGCACATCTCCCACTGGGGATGTGCCCGCAACCCAGGTACATGCCCTTGACCGGAATCGAACCTGGGACCCCTGAGTCCACAGGCTGATGCTCTATCCACCAAGCCAAACCGGTTAGGGCAAGGCTGAACTTTAACCACTGGTATACTGTCTCTTCAAAATAATTTGTAGAGTTCTTTTATTTTATTTTAAAGTTACAGATACCTGCCAAATTAGGTGGAAGGAAGTATGCTGATTGGTAGCAATTGGAAACATTTCCCTGTTTTTCTCACCAGCCTATGCTCATGGTTAATGGACAACATGTGCAACCACCTTTCTTAAATACCTGAACTTTAACCACTGGTATACTGTCTCTTCAAAATAATTTGTAGAGTTCTTTTATTTTATTTTAAAGTTACAGATACCTGCCAAATTAGGTGGAAGGAAGTATGCTGATTGGTAGCAATTGGAAACATTTCCCTGTTTTTCTCACCAGCCTATGCTCATGGTTAATGGACAACATGTGCAACCACCTTTCTTAAATACATCATTTAGCAAAATGACTTAGGCATCATCAATTCCTTAGTTCAGTAAAGACGGAACACTAAAGATTGAGGAAATGTAAATCTCTATGGAACTGACATGCAGAGTGGCATTCACTGAGCTGAAGCAGGAAGAAGTTATTTTCTTAAATCTGTTAGCAATTTACGCATCAAATTTAGATTTTTGTTTCAGAGTTGTCATCGCTTTTGTTTCTTTGTATAGTATTCCTATTGTGTAAATGTCATGTGCACACTCAGAAGCATTAAGATATTAAAGCTATGCCAGAACCGGTTTGGCTCAGTGGATAGAGCGTCGGTCTGCGGACTCAAGGGTCCCAGGTTCGATTCCGGTCAAGGGCATGTACCTGGGTTGCGGGCACATCCCCAGTGGGGGGCGTGCAGGAGGCAGCTGATTGATGTTCCTCTCTCATCGATGTTTCTGGTTCTCTATCCCTCTCCCTTCCTCTCTGTAAAAATTCAATAAAATATATTTTTTAAAAAAAGATATTAAAGCTGAAGGTGAAAATAAGAGAAAAGAAATAAAGCTGAAAGTGACTTTATTGAGCCAATGCCCTTCTTTTACAGAAAGCTGATCCCCAGAAAGGCTCAGTTCAAGTTCACATAGCTCACTAGTTAATTGCAGAACCTGAACCTCAGCCAGAGTGGCTTGATTCATGGATCATTACATCGTGGTGCTTTGTTTTAATTCAATATTGTTGAACCATAATAACAAATTATGTGACTAATCCTGATAGAAATTTGCAGTCTTCCCTAATTTCTTAAATCCTTGATATTTTACAGTTAAATTAATTGAGAATTCTCCAAACCTTAATGTTTTCCATCTGCAATGTAATTTCTTTTCGGATTTTGAGTCTCTCTTGACTGTACTCGCTTCCTGCAAGAAACTCAAAGAAATTAAGTTTTCTGGAGCATTTTTTAAACCCATCCCATTTGGTAAGAGTTACAATTTTAAAATTTTGGTTTAAGGCAGTTTTTAAAAATAGCCAAATTTTAAATATGCAATTGATGCCGAAGAACTATTGTAATAGATATATGATCTTAAATGAGTTATCAAATAAGTTGTATTTGTTTCTAAAAGTTTAAATATTTCTAGTTATCAGAATTATTTCCTGCACAAAGACTTACCTATTTAGTCATACTAATTAATTCTATCTGAATTACTGTATTATTTTCTATCACTTTAAAAGTATTCTTTAATCACATTACTTTTTGGTATATGAGTTGTAACTGACATAACTAGATTTTTATTTTCCCTTTTATAGTCACCATTCTGACAAATTTTATTTCTCTGAAGATATTAGATCTTAAATTCCAAGAATTTCCCGATAAGGAAACATCTGAAAAATTTGGTATGTATACAAAACAGTGCCTTTTACTTATTCTTTATTCTCTTCCTCCAAAATCCTTCCATCTATTTTGCATTAGCTACAACAAATCATAGTATGTATTAACTACCCTGGCTAATTAGGAGGAAGGGACAGGGCTGCTCAACTTTTACCCTCACATGCCTTGATTATTCTCAGAGTGCCTTATGGGTCATTACACCACTATGCAATTTCATTGGCAGGTACCCGTTCCAAACATGTTAAGTCTGTTGTTTTAAGTTTCTGGGATATAGATAAAACTATATTTTAAGGTTAAGAAAACTCAATATGTGAAAACCCAGATTTAACAAAATGACTAGCTATAAAATGAGCTTAATTACTTTTTCATTTTTTTATGATTACAAAAATAATGTATGCTGATCGGGAAAAAACAAACTGAGGCATATTAACAATTTTAAGTTTATTTAAGTAAAAATGGATTTGAATTGGGGAATATCCTGTTTAGCAGACAGAAAGGAGCTCTGAGGAGCTACACAGATGACTTTTATAGGCAGAAGGGAGCAGGAACGAGGAAGTTATACCAGGTAAAAATGTTGGTTGGTGATTGCAAGGATAATTTCCTTTAGGGCAGTGGTTCTCAATCTTCCTAATGCCTCGACCCTTTAATACAGTTCCTCATGTTGTGGTGACCCCCAACCATAAAATTATTTTTGTTGCTACTTCATAACTGTAATTTTGCTACTGTTATGAATCGTAATGTAAATATCTGATATGCAGGATGTATTTTGTTACAAATTGAACATAATTAAAGCATAGTGATTAATCACAAAAACAATATGTAATTATATATGTGTTTTCCGATGGTCTTAGGCGACCCCTGTGAAAGGGTCGTTCGACCCCCAAGGGGGTCGCGACCCACAGGTTGAGAACCACTGCTTTAGGGGATGGCAGAGTTCTAAAGGCTGGTAACCTAACTAGTGCTGCTCAGATGATTCCTGATCACCTGGTTTAAGATGCTATTTCTGGGAGAGCTGAAAGCCGAAGTCTTGGTTTGGTGACATGGGACTTAGCATAAGCGGCTGTATTTGGGGATTATGTCTTTTTAACTCAGGAAAACATAAGGTGAGTCAGTGGAGATATGGAGTGAACAGTTCGTTCCTTTTAAACTTTAGCATGCTTAAGGATCACTTGGATCTCCTCCTCCTCTTTTCTTCCTTTGGAGGCAGCCGTGTGGGTAGGGGAAGAGCAGGAGGGCTGAATGGGGCAGAGGCAGGATCAGGGGTCAAGGAAGTGCCTGGTGTATACAACAGGTTGATTAAACAAATACGCTCAGTATAACGAGAGCCAAGTTTCCTCACTGTTAGAGAAGGAATTTATAAATATTGAAAGGGTAGGTTAGAAAGAACCCTGAGGTATTAAATTAGAATTGGAGATATTGGTGTGAACCCATGGTGTTTTTTTAAAAAGCGTTTTTATTGATTTTAGAGAGAGAGGAAGCGAGAGGGAAAGCTAGAAACATCGATGAGAATCATTGATCATCTGTCTCCTGCATGCCCCACACTGAAGATTGAGCCTGCAACTCGAGCATGTGCCCTAATTTGGAATTGAACCGGTGACCTCTTGGTTCATACTTGAGGTTGCCCCACACTCAACCACAGAGCCGCACCGGTGGGCTGAACTCATAGTTTTAACCTATTCACATAAATAGATCAACGTATACACAGATACAGATACCCATTTATCTATATATTTCTATACACAAACACACATTTATATTTCTAAGCTCAGTCAACTGAGACACTAGAAAATACCTTAATAGCAATGAGCACAACAGATGCCCAGATCTTGATTTCTGAATATTGGCTTCCCAAAAAGGAACACAAGTTATTGTAGAAATGGCTTATTTAAGAACTGGGACAGTGAAAGCAAAAGGCTGGAACATTTTTTTTTTTTTAATCCTCACCTGAGGATATGCTTTTCGCTGATTTTAGAGAGAGGAAGAGAAACATCAATGTGAGAAACATTGATTGGTTGCCTCCTGTACACACCCCAACCGGGGATCAAACCTGCAACCCAGGTATGGGCCCTGACTGGGAACCAAATTCCCAACCTTTCAGTGTACGAGGACAACACTCCAACCAACTGAGCCATCTGATCAGGGCCTGGGACATTGTTTTAAGGTAGAAAGTGTTCAAAACATCTCCAGGTGTGACGCCTCAGAAGTAGAGAACTTTTTAGGGATCAAGTAATCTATAATGTACCATGTTAAGGATGGAATCAAAGTGAAAAGGAAAAGGAAAGATAGAGTAGTGGATTGTGAGGCTTTAGTGCTGGGAGGCAGAGGGAGAAGTCACTGAGATAATAGCAGGAGGTGAGACTGAAAGAAAGGGGGCAGAAGGCTGTCAGGAGCTAGGAGAGTATCCAGGATGCCAGAAGTAGCTTCAATCTAAAAGAGGAAATGGGTATGTGATAGGTATTCTGCACTTCAGTGCAGGAAAGACTGGGGAGGGTGAAAAAATGGTTGTCTGGAAGTCGTAATGAAGATCAAGGTGGCCCTAGCTGGTTTGGCTCAGTGGATAGAGCATCGGCTTGTGGATTGAAGGGTCCTAGGTCGATTCTGGTCAAGGGCACATGCTCGGGTTGCGGGCTCGATCCCCAGTAGGGGTCATGTAGGAGGCAGCGGATCAATAATTCCCTCTCATTGATGTTTCTATCTCTCTCTCCCTCTCCCTTATCTGAAATCAATAAAAAAATATATTAAAAAAAAAAGATCAAGGTGTAGGCTGACCCCTTTCTCTTGTCCTTGGAGAGGAAGAGGAACAGTCTCTATGCTACATGGGGCCTCTTGGACTGTGCATGATTTTGAGGCTAGAGACCACTGTTTGAGAACACAGTATGAAAAACCTTTTTTTTTTTTTTTGTCTTCTGATAGCCCACACTTTAGGTTCTCTTAGCAATCTGGAAGAATTGATCCTTCCTAATGGGGATGGGATTCATCAGGTGGCCAAACTGATCATCCAGCAGTGTCAGCATCTTCGATGTCTCCGAGTTCTCTCATTTTTCAAGACTTTAAATGATGACAGTGTAATGGAAATTGGTGAGTTACCCTCAGATAAAATGTTTCACCTTGCCCTGGATGGGTGGCTCAGTTGGTTGGAGCATTGTCCTGTACACCAAAAAGACTGTGGGTTCAGTTTCCAGTCAAGGTGCATATCTATGTTGCAGCTTCAATCCTCAATCAGGGCGAGTATGGGAGGCAGCCCATCTTTTTCTCTCTCTTTCCCTCCCTCTTTCTCTCTTCCTCTCTCAAATCAATAAACATGTCCTCAGATAAGGATTTAAAAAACGTTTCAGCTTGCATGAAGCCAGTGATATTACTCAAGTTTTCTGCTACAAAATGTCTATACGATTGCCCGGCCGGCGTTGCTTAATGGTTTGAGCGTCAACCTATGAACCAGATCACGGTTCGATTCCTGGTCAAGGCACATGCCCTGGTTGCAGGCACAATCTCTAGTGGCATGCAGGAGATGGCCAATCAATGATTATCTCTCATCATTGATGTTTCTATCTCCCCTTCCTCTCTGAAATCAATAAAAAAATTCTTAAAAAAATGTCTATACAGATTTTTCTCTCTCTAAAAATGTTCAACCCACTTCATTATCTCTGTCTTATCGTTTGTTCCCTCTAATGTCCTGGTCAGATTTGGAAGTAAAAGATGTCCTCCCATTTGAGACTATACAAGCTCTCAAGTCTGTGTTCTTTAAAAAAAATGTTTTTTAAATACATTTGTGTTTGTTTTTTTAAAAAAATATATTTTTATTGATTTCAGAGAGGAAGGAAGAGGGAGAGAGAGATAGAAACATCCATGATAAGAGAGAATCATGGATCGGCTGCCTCCCGCAAGTCCCCCACTTGGGATCGAGCCCACAACCCGGGCATGTGCCCTTGACCGGAATCAAACCTGGGACCTTTCAGTTCGCTGGCGGACGCTCTATCCACTAAGCCAAACCTGCTAGGGCAAATTTTTTATGTTTTTATTGATTTTAGAGGAGGGATGGGGAATGTCTGGCCTGCGGGCTGTATAAGGCCCATGAAATCATTTGGTCTGGCCCTTCCAAGGCATTAGGGGAGAGTTAATTAAATGTTTGAACAAATACAGCAGGATAATTTTTATTTTTATTTTTTAATATATTTGATTGATTTTTTACAGAGAGGGAGAGGGACAGAGAGTTAGAAACATCGATAAGAGAGAAACATCGATCAGCTGCCTCCTGCACACTCCCTACTGGGTATGTGCCCGCAACTAAGGTACATGCCCTTGACCAGAATCGAACCTGGGACCCTTGAGTCCACAGGCTGACGGCTCTATCCACTGAGCCAAACCGGTTAGGGCAGCAGGATAATTTTTAAGTTGATAATTGTATATCGTCATGAATGATGTTATAAATATCCAAATAGCCCTTGGTGAAAAAGGTTCCTCACCCCTGATTTATATGTATATGTGTGTGCGTAAATATATGTATGTATGTGTGTATGTATTTATTTATTGGCATTTTCTATTTCCAGTGGTGATGAGAGAGGAGGTTGGTTCAAATAATCTAGTCTATCATTACTGAAACAAAAGTCTTATGATTCCCATTTCATAAATATTTTGCTTTTACAGCCAAAGTAGCAATCAGTGGAGGTTTCCAGAAACTTGAGAACTTAGACCTTTCACTGAATCACAAGATTACAGAGGAAGGATATAGAAATTTCTTTCAAGTACTGGACAACTTGCCAAACTTGCAAGAGTTGACAATTTCCAGGCATTACACTGAATGTATCAGAGTTCAGGCCACCACAGTGAAGTCTTTGAGTCAATGTATGTTAAGGCTGCCAAGTCTCACCACAATCAACATGTTAAGCTGGCTCCTGGATGCAGAAGACATCACACTGCTTACTTCGACAAAAGAAAAACACCCTCAATCTAAACTCTTCAATATTCACTGGAAATGGAGATTGCCATTCTCTCCTATCATCCAGAAATAGAAGATTTAGCTAAAAAATGCTGAATCAAGAAAAATTTTGTCAACAATTCTAAAAACCTAATTATCCAAAAACATTTTATTAAATATTGCAGGCAAAATAATAGTTATAAAACATGTAAGGCATGTAAAAAAAAAAAATAACACCCTGCATGCCCACCATTGAGCTTAAGAAACATTATTACCAGTATCTTTGAAGTCTCTCAATGATCTTCCCAACTAAAGTTTATACATCTAACCCTCCATAGTCCAGCATTAGCATCAGGTATTCAGGCTAACTGTGGTAAAGAGAAACAAAGCTAGAAGGAGAGGGTGGAGGAACACTGATCTAGCTAAAAGTCAGTGTGGAAGAACTCATGTTATATATGAAATGACTAACTTAAGGACTAAATCAGTTTCACACAGAGGTGAAACAAGAGTTCACTTTAACAGGGTACAGATGAGTCTTTTGTGGGCCAAGAGATATTCCCTAATCCAGGGGACCTCAAACTACAGCCCGCGGGCCACATGCAAATACAAATATTGTATTTGTTCCCGTTTTGTTTTTTTACTTCAAAATAAGATATGTGCAGTGTGCATAGGAATTTGTTCATTTTTTTTTTTTTTAAACTATAGTCCGGCCCTCCAACGGTCTGAGGGACAGTGAACTGGCCCCCTGTTTAAAAAGTTTGAGGACCCCTGCCCTAATCCTTGTAGGATCTGTTCTGTATATTTAACTTTGGTGTAGTCAAGTTTACTTGTACCTTCCCTTTATCCACTGCCAATGTGAAGAAGAAATAGGATTTAGGGGAAAATGCTCTAATCCAGAGGCTTTTGATTCAAATGCCCTGACACTCACTTTTATGTTTCTAAACTTCTTCCTTTCTCACATATCCCAACCTCTCCAACTTCCTAAAATCCTTCCACTGTGCCCACATGAGTAACATGCCTAATATCCTCAGCGTCTTTTCTAAACGTTCCTTGCACGTTATTTTAACTCCATATTTTTTCAAACTTTTTTAAAAATCAGGAATAAATTCTATATTGAAAAATTTGCACATTTATATACATATTCACAACTGAAACAAGATTACAAAAATAACTTTCTAAAACAAAGCTATATTATTTTTACTTATATGCAAATTAACAAATAATTCAAAAACACAAAATTCTTTTAAAAAGTTGTTTATATACACTGCTTTCAGTTGTTTATGTATACTGTTTTCTTTCTTACATTTCCTCCCACCAGAATTTTACCTTCTCTAGGCCACCAAAACAGCTCTTATGAGGGTCACTGATGACCTCTACATTGCTGAATTCAATGAATACTTCAGTCTCATCCTACTTTTGTTATGAGCATTTGACCCATCAGTAGCTTTGATGTGGTCCATCACTCCCTCCTCAAAACATTTTCTTCATTTGATTTCCAAGACTTCCCTCCTAATTCACTGAGAGCTCTGTTTCCTTTACTGCTTCTCCTCATATCTGATCTCTAAACATTGGAGTACCCGAGTTTTCCTCTGACATCTCTATTAAACGCACTTCCTTTGGCTATCTCATCCTGTTGAACGGCTTTAAATTCAATATCTAGGCTAACTTCTAAATTTTCATCTCTAGTCCAGATCTCTCCTCTGAACTCTACTCATATCCAACTCCCATTAAGAGCATCTCAAACTTCATATGCCCAAACCCAACTTCTATCCTTCCTTTCCACCAAAGTACTCTTTATTCAGACTTCTCCATCTCATTAAATTCCACTTGCCTAGGTCAAAACCTTTCATACTCCACCTGTGCATCTATTGGCAAATCCTGAGCTCCATTTGCAAAATGTACTCAGCTCCAACCAACCACTACTACCCATTGGTCCTAACAGATTGGCCTGCTTCTTCCCTTGAAACTTATGATCTATTTTCAACATAGCAGTCAGAAGGCTCTTCATAGAAATGCAATCATGCAACATCTTTGATTCAAAATCCTCCAATGGATTCCCAGCTCAAAGTAAATGCTGAAGATCTTACAATGGCCTACAAATGACCTGACCCCTCACTACCCGTCTTACCTCTGTCTCTTTAATCTCTCCTCCTTGCTCAATTCCACTCAGCTGCACTGGTTTCTTTGCTGCTTCCTGAACATGCAAAACATGCTGGTCTTAGGGCCTTTGCACTTGTCATTTCCTTTGCCTGGGAGGTTCTCCCTCATTTATGCGAGTGGCTCTCATTACCTTCAGAACTCTACTCAAATGTTACCTCAATAAAGTTTCCTGACCTTTCTTTTTAGAAAGGCATCCCACTTCCAATCTCACTCTGCCTAACCCCTTTCCCTACTTCACTTTTCTCTACAGCATGTATCACTATCTGCCACCTTATAAAGTTCCCACCACTATAAGCAGTAATTGTTATGTCTTGTTCATTGCTGTCTCCTAAGAAACTCGAATAGTGCCTAGCACACAAAGTTAAATAAGATTTAGCCAATCAATGATTCTCTCTCATCAGTGATGTTTCTCTCTCTTCCTTTCTCTCTGAAATCAAAAATATATTAAAGAATAAAAATAGCCTGACCAGCGTCGCTCAGTAGTTGAGTGTTGACCTATGAACCAGGAGGTCACGATTCAATTCCCAGCCAGGGCATATGCCCAGGTTGGACGACTCGATCCCCAGTGTGGGGCGTGCAGGAGGCAGCCGATGAATGATTCTTTCTCATCACTGATGTTTCTATCTCTCTCTCCCTCTCCCTTCCTCTCTGAAATCAATAAAAATACATTAAAAATATATATTTTTTAAAAGAAAAAAAAACTCCAAAAAATAAATAAGATTTGCTGAAATAAATGACTTTCCTGAACCTCTGACCACTCTCCAACTGTATTAAGTATTAAGGGAGATAATATCCAAAAATATCTTAGAAGGCAAGTAAGCTGCCTTCATAACTCAATTCAACCTGGCACATATTTGGGCAATTAAAATATGCTAAATATATAAAATATTGGCTGATTGTGATGAAAAATGGTAAAAAGCCACTTAACCTGTACTAGAAAGCTTAAGCCATAGAACAACCCATTTTGCAAAGTTTACGTAACACACAATGAATATCCACTTATTCAAAAAAATATGTACTGTTATGCTGGGCATATTTGGTTTTCCCATGCAAAACCTCAGAAAGAAATAGCATTTATATATTAACATCTTCTGCAGCTAAACGGACTAGAAAATATCCCAGGTGCCATGGACACCAAACTTTAGACTAAACTGAAACAATATGATCTCCTAAGAATTTGAATGGAGAGATAGAGATATAGTCAAATGAATGAGAGATGGAACTACAAGGTGGAGATGAAGAGAGAATAGCTTGGCCAACCATATTAGGTGTGTGCATGATGAGCACGTGGAGGAGGCCAGAAGAGAGAGGGCAGACAGACAAGAGAAGATGCAAGGAGGAAAATGACAATATGACTTTCAAGAGACAATACAGCTTTGGTTCCTGATTGGCTGGGCCCAGTCCTTGTGACACTCAGCTTCAGCTAGCGTTTCTTAACCATGGATTCTCATTAACATTGTTTTATAATTGGTTGTATCTTTATAATACTACCCCCTTTACCCTGAGTAGTTTTCTTTCTACACACTCTACCCTTAACCATATATATTCCAAAGAAAAATATTCAGATAGTCAAGATTAAAAAATATTTATCATTTATTTTTAAAGGCATCAGTAAAAAGCTTAACATACTAAGAAAGTTACAATATACAAATGTGTTGACAGATTGACTTTTCTGCACTATATGTGACTTTGAGTTTCTTTTAATTACTCACATTTCCATTGTTCAGTTATTCAAACTGGTTATTCCCTACAAATACCTGGCTGGTTACTTAAGCACAAGTCACATATGACAAAGGTAAATGTAGAAGATTGTGCCATTCAACCAAGTGCTCATGAAGAAAAGATGAAAACTGTTCACATCGACCAGGGCATAGCAAAACACCCTTCTCCTTGGGAGAGAGCTGCACCTTAATTTGAAAGAAAAAAAGTCTAGATATAATTATGAAACTTAAAAACCTGTTTTCTTATAAAATCATAAAGAAGAGAGGAAATGGAAAGCAATACACTCATCAAGGTAAATAAAACGAATAAAAATATGCTAATATACTTAATGTAATACTAATTTCTATATTTATGGAATAGTTAAATAAACTAATTGTGAAATTCATTTGGAAGAGTAAATGGGCAAGAATATTTTTTTAAAATTTAAGGAGCACTGGTATTTGATGTCTTATATACAAAACAATGATCAAAATCATGTGTTAAAACTAGAATAAAAATATGCTAATATACTTAATGTAATACTAATTTCTATATTTATGGAATAGTTAAACTAATTGTGAAATTCATTTGGAAGAGTAAATGGGCAAGAATATTTTTTTAAAATTTAAGGAGCACTGGTATTTGATGTCTTATATACAAAACAATGATCAAAATCATGTGTTAAAAACAATTTGGGTTTGCTGTACTTGAATTCTCATTAAAATTACTAACAGTTATTTATCACATCTCTTTATGTTTCTGTATACTGTTTGTAAAACGAATTAAAAGGAAATACAGGTGACTCTCGTTATTCACGGCAGTTATGTTCTAAAAAGTCACCACAAACATGGAATTTATAAATACAAAGCCATCACTCCTAGAAGAAACACTGGGCCTGCAAGCCTCTGATCACATTTTTATCAACCAATAGATAAATAACCTTGTTTTATGTGTTTCCATTGAAACACATGTTATTAATAGATAGTATTGATGCATTAACACTGAACTCACAGCTAACAGCACTATATCTCATGCCCAGAATGAAGCTTAACCAACATATGTATTTTCTCTGCAAGGCACATCCGAGTTCTTGCACCTGGGAAACACTAGATAACCCTTCTGCATAATGTCTGAAGGCCATTTTAAAGTGTGAAATCAAAAGGCACAAAAATGTAGCACTCAGATTGTGAAAGGACACTTGTTTATAGTATGAGTACTGAAACAAGAAAACAGCATTGCTCAACATCAGCTGGGAACATCTATGTCAGGTGACTCGAATTTTTCACCTTTCTGCATCTGTCCATGAATTATAGCGAAGTGCCAGAAATACTGTTCCTGGGGTTACAGATAAATTTTAGCAAGTAGGCAAATTTGCAAATCCAGAATCTATGAGTAAGGAGGATTTACAGTAGATAAAATTTTATAAGCAAAAATTTAAAAGAGCAAACAAATATTTAAAATGTAATAGGGGAATAACCATATAGACACAGGAAAAAAATAAAACAAAACATTAGAAGAAAATCCAAAAGCCATAAAAAAGGAATGAATCTGACTATATAAAAATAAAGTAGTATGACTACATAAAAAGCAAACATTTCTATCAAAATGACAACTGCTATCACTATAAGCAAGGTCAAAAAAATGATAAACTAGTTGTAGAAAAAAGTACCTACAACTCATATCACAAAGGGATGGTTACCATTACAAAGAATTCTTGCAAATCAACAGGAAAAACATATCCAACTTGAAAAGTGTGTAAAGGTGATGTTCAT